ATTAAACTTTTATTAAAAAAGGATAATATAATATATTTTGCGCATTTAAAATTATTTCATTTCCTTAAAATCATAGAATATAACTATGATTGTTTTTAAAATCTAAATAAATTTAAATTATTTCGGCTTCTTTGGCTTTACGGTCAGCCTAACTCATTTTTATATATAAGATGCTAAATGTTATAGGACGCTGAATTGTATGAGACGCTGAATGGTATTGATGACGCTGAATGGTATTTATGACGCTGAATGGTACATGACACAAAAGGGTATATGACACTGAATTGTATGAGACTCTGAATGGTATTTATGACGCTGAATGGTATTTATGACGCTCAATGGTACATGACACATAAGGATATATGACACTGAATTGTATGAGACGCTGAATGGTATTTATGACGCTGAATGGTATTTATGACGCTGAATGGTATTTATGACGCTGAATGGTACATGACACAAAAGGGTATATGACACTGAATTGTATGAGATGCTGAATGGTATTTATGACGCTGAATGGTATTTATGACGCTGAATGGTACATGACACAAAAGGGTATATGACACTGAATTGTATGAGACGCTGGATGGTATTTATGACGCTGAATGGTATTTATGACGCTGAATGGTATTTATGACGCTGAATGGTACATGACACAAAAGGGTATATGACACTGAATTGTATGAGATGCTGAATGGTATTTATGACGCTGAATGGTATTTATGACGCTGAATGGTACATGACACAAAAGGGTATATGACAATGAATTGTATGAGACGCTGGATGGTATTTATGACGCTGAATGGTATTTATGACGCTGAATGGTCCTTGACACAACATGGTAAATGACACTGAATTGTATGAGACGCTGAATGGTACATGACACAAAAGGGTATATGACACTGAATTGTATGAGACGCTGGATGGTATTTATGACGCTGAATGGTATTTATGACGCTGGATGGTACATGACACAAAGTGGTATATGACACTGAATTATATGAGACGCTGGATGGTATTTATGACGCTGAATGGTATTTATGACGCTGGATGGTACATGACACAAAGTGGTATATGACACTGAATTGTATGAGACGCTGGATGGTATTTATGACGCTGAATGGTATTTATGATGCTGGATGTTACATGACACAAAATGGTATCTGACACTGAATTGTATGAGACGCTGGATGGTATTTATGACGCTAAATGGTATTTATGACGCTGAATGGTACATGACACAAAATGGTATATGACACTGAATTGTATGAGACGCTGGATGGTATTTATGACGCTGAATGGTATTTATGACGCTGAATGGTACATGACACAAAATGGTATATGACACTGAATTGTATGAGACGCTAAATGGTATGACAATTGATTTGAAGTGATACTGAATATTACATGACACTGAAAGGTATATGACGCCAATGTGTATACCACACTCTATTGTATAAAAAAGATTTTGTGTACTGAAGAGTCGATTTCAAAATGCTGTATCTCCATTTTTGGCATTTTGAGATAAACGACTTTTTCTGCTACACAATGATGGGTCAAATTTTCGGGGAAAATGTTAATTTAGGTATATATTCAAAATATAAGTTCGATTATGATGAAAATTGAAATGTAGGTTAATTAAAATGTGTTGATTGAATGTCTTATTTCGTTTTAAAATGCTGTGTATTCAGCTGAAACTTAGCGACAAAATGCTGTATATCAATCACACTTTGATGGCATAACATTATTCCCAGTAGCAAATTATTCAAGTTGTTTATAGATAACAAACCACTTACATAACAAAATAAAATTACATTGTATCATATACATTACATAATTGTGTATGATTAATATTTTTATTGATATATTTTAACAGAACAATGTTATAAATGCTGGAAAGTCGCTTGTAATAGTGTAATGTTGAGAGTGCTATAAGTCTGCATGATTTGTTTCTATAAATCTGAATTCCAAACAAAAGTAAACAAGATAATGTTTCATTCAAAAATCATTTTAATTGAATTTAGAAAAACGATCTAATAGAAAATAATGATGTGTCTGATTCAGATTGTGCATCATCTTCAATAGTAGTTTGGTTTTGTTCCAGGAAAAGTTGATGCTTCTTATTTACTTTCAAATCAGATGGCAAATATTTATGTCCTTGAGCACCCTTTCTTCTGTAATGGCTGGATCTGCATGTAAAAGATTGAATATGTAATAAATAACACAGCTAACTCTGTAATGCAACTTTTTATTTTCATTCCTTAACACTTCTGATATGTTGCAGCTATAACCATAACAATAAAAATGTAAAATGAAATTTAGTCGTTTTGTAATAAAGTTACCGGTAACTCACATTGCAGAACCAATTATCGTGATTACACGTAACAGAGGGCATCTTTCCTCCATGACACGTAACAGAGGGGACGTTTCCTCCATGACACGTGACCGAGGGCATCTTTCCTCCATGACACGTAACAGAGGGTACCTTTCCTCCATGACACGTAACAGAGGGCATCTTTCCTCCATGACACGTAACAGAGGGCATCATTCCTCCATGACACGTAACAGAGGGGATCTTTCCTCCATGACACGTAACAGAGGGGATCTTTCCTCCATGACACGTAACAGAGGGGATCTTTCCTCCATGACACGTAACAGAGGGCATCTTTCCTCCATGACACGTAACAGAGGGGATCTTTCCTCCATGACACGTAACAGAGGGGATCTTTCCTCCATGACACGTAACAGAGGGGATCTTTCCTCCATGACACGTGACAGAGGGCATCTTTCCTCCATGACACGTGACAGAGGGGATCTTTCCTCCATGACACGTGACCGAGGGCATCTTTCCTCCGCTTGAATGACGAAATGATTTGTCTTTTTCTCGTGACTAGCTTTTTTTTTTTTTTTCGAGATTTTATAGTTCAAACAATTCTTTCATCCAGGCCGTCGTTATGCACTATGTTTGTTGTTGTTTCGCGTCTTGTTGTTTAGTGCGCATGCGCATAATGCCGCAGAATAGCTTGACAAACACACGGATTGGTCCAAAAATATATACAGCATTTTGATAATAAAACAGAAAATTCCCACTGCGTTTTAAAAATAAGTAAACTCAATTTACCCAACACTTAACACTTTTACCGAACCTCTGGTTTACCCCCCCCCCGGGTTCCTAGTGGCCGGGGTTATTTACCAGGTTTGCGGTTCGACGCGACTCCGTAAAATAAACTAAATACCTTTTTCATTCGTTTATCGCGTCAATGCCTCGAAAAATTGTATGTAGTTTGCAGGAATCGAAGGCCTTTATTAGTGTTAGGCCTTGTTGAAATGAGGCCACACTTGTGACATTGATCACATGCTGAAGTTCTAAAAATAACAGAATAGCAAACAGAAGAAATCGATAAACAATAGATTTATAACTTCCATTTATTTTATTTGTATACCATTTTGTATAATAGATAAAATTACAGTCTTCATTTCTTTGTATTTTTTTTAAAACCTTTTTACATGATTCTTTGAGTGAAATAAGAGTGCAGTTCAAAAAAGAAATACAAATCTCGTTTCATTAAAAAAGGATGTGAACTTTTACTTTCTTTAAATGTACCACTAAGAACCTATCGCAGATAACACATTTTTTAAGTTTTTGAAGGGTGCGCCACTTCGTACCTATCGTCATGACATCACAATGTTTTTTAATTGCAGCACGAATCCTGCTTTTCAAGGATGCTGGGGAGCATAGGTGGGTGTGGGAAATGCCAATTTGTCTGGACAACAAAAACAATAGAAATAGACACAATGGTCAAAAGAATTAGAAAGTCTCCCAGGGGCGGATACTAAAACAGGTTGACGTTGGTTTGTACTTGTATTTGTATAGAATAGAGTTGCAATAATTTAATTATGTTTCTGAGCTACCTATCTATCGATCTACCTATCGATCTACCTATCAATCTACCTATCCTCCTATCTACCTATCTATCTATCTATCTATCTATCTATCTATCTATCTATCTATCTATCTATCTATCTATCTATCTATCTATCTATCTATCTATCTATCTATCTATCTATCTATCTATCTATCTATCT